TGTACAAATGAAACCAACAAACCGCACCAACTCGATAATTCGAGTCAAACCGAGAAAAAAAAACCGACCATATTTGGTTTGGTTTGGTTTTAACTAAAAAAAATTAAACCGAAACCAAATCAACCCGACATTATATGTATAGAAGTTTTAAATATATTTAATACATAAAAATATTTATTATAGTGTAGTTTATAAATATTTCTTAAGATTTTTTATAGTTTTATCTTTTCACGTATTATTTCAAGCTTGGACTTGTCACACCCTTTTTTTACAAACCTCACTTAACCCTCCTAAATTAATAAAAAGATTTAGTAAAAGCTTGAAAAGGGTTTTTAATTAAAAAGTGACAAAAAAATGTGTTCAAAAGGAAGTAACTCATAGTCGCCACCTGACTTTGATTTCGGTGTGCCAGGTCACCGTTTTTTTTTTAAAAAAAAATAATTTTTCCTTTAAAACACTTTGGACTCACTACAAAAAATTTGGTAAATTGTGGCGGTTTATTTATGGGGGTCATAAAAAACTCCCACTACACGCTTGTTTTGTGGCGTTTGAGCCAACCCCCACAAAATAGTTCTTATTGTGGCGGATTAAGTGTGGGGATCTTAAAAAGACCCCTTCTATATATTCAATTCGTGGCGTTTGTTCCCACCTCCTCAAAATTTTTCTTATTATGGCGATTTTTTTGTGAAGGTTTTTGATAACCTCCACAATATATCAATTCCAGGTGTTTGAGAAATTGTTACAACTCGATACAAGTTGACAATTATGAACTCATGAAATTTTTTAGTTATTTTTTCCACCTTATGTCATTAAATCAAATCAAATTACATATTTTAGTTAAAACTTTGCGAATTAATGCAATTTACGTCAATATCTATACCTTCTAGTTTGTAATCTTTTTCTCTTGACTTTCTTCAACTACAAAAAGAAAGGTTTTCTATTATTCCTCTATGCCTTACTCGCTCGTTTTTCTTTGATTGTCTTTGTGCATTTCTTTAATTCATCTCTCTATCATTAGCAAAAAATAATAATGACTTCCATTTCATTTCTTCCCCGTAGGTTTCTTAATTATAGATTTATATGTTTACTCATAAATGCTAAACATAATTTCTAACCACGTGAGTATCGTGAATCTTTAGGTGAAAAAAATGAAATTTAACTGATGTTTGTCACGACCCAAAATTCACTAAGGGTCGTAATGGCGCTGGACACCGCTGTCAGGCAAGCCAACCATAATTACTTAATTAAATTCTCATTTAAACAATTGTGAAAAAACTCCGATTCTTCTTTAATTTTTACTAATAAAAGATACTCAGTTCAAATTAAATATACATGTCAAGAAGTCAATATAAAATACCCCATAACTATCCCAGAACCCGTTGTCACAAGTGCATGAGCTATTTCTAGGAAGCAATACAATACAACAACCGTCCGGAATACAAATTGGACGGAAAATAAATACAATAATCTGGAAGAGACTCTGCTGGTTGCAAGTCATCTCGAGAACTGCAGCTCACCTAAGTCTCCGCATCAATCATGTTGCTACGCCCGCCAGGCCACTAGTGATGCATGTGCATGTGCAACAAAAATGCACAGCAAGTGTAGTATGAGTACGAAAACAACATGTACCCAATGAGTATCCTGTCTAATCTCGAAGAAGTAGAGACGAGAGGTCGACTTCGACACTTACTAGTGGTCCAATAATGATACGTCCATAATATATAATGAATCGAGGATTTATGTAAACAAGATTTGTAATTCAATAGGGTGAAACATGTAAACAATTCTTTCTTTTATGTGAAATTTCCAAATTTCCTTTTTCATCATTTATACACATATTCTCAAGCCGGGAAGGGGCAATAACAACTTCAATAAGTTTTAAGGCAAGCAATACAAGCGTGCGCAAATCATGCCGAGGTCGTACGACCCGATCCAACATAAATGTAAAATGTGCACTGCCGAGGGTCAAACGGCCCGAACCATAAATTCATCTATTACCCCGGTCGCGAATCATACATGGTGGTCAAATATAAATAAACAATCATCCTGCTCGCGAATCATACATGCGACGCAGTTACACATAGAAATACATGCTCAAACAACCAATTAAGAATTTATCGTGGAACATTTATCCAAATAAAAACCAATTCTCTTTTAATGATTTAAGAAAAATGAAGATTAATCCTTTTAGAAATTCATTTACCAATTCGATAGGATTTAAGCAATTCAAATGTCAATAAGATTACAAATATTCCAAGTATAGCATGCTTTTGGGTCCTAGACTACCCGGACTTAAACATAATAGTAGCTACGCACGGACTCTCGTCACCTCGTGCGTACGTATCCCCCACAAATAGGAGCACATAACCAATTATTTCACCTATAGGGACAACTCCCTCTTACAAGGTTAGAAAGGAGATTCACCTCACTTCGAAGATCCATAACCGGCATTCCACGCCCTTCCGAAGACTCGAATCGATGCACAATGCTCCAAAACTAGCCTATAATTTTGCAAATCCATTAATATACGTTCAATTACTCATTACAATCCAATTTATAACAATTTCTAACCCCGATCGAAAAGTTGACAAAATTGCCCTCGGCCCACATGCCCGGATTCTAAAAATTTTCAAAGATAAAGTTTAGCCATGAACTCCCGAACTCAAATATATAATTTTCTCTTAGTTTTATACCCAAAGTCGTAGTCAAAATCCAAGAATATCAATTTTCTAGGTTTCCCATCAAACCCCAAGTTTCTACCAATTTTCGTGTCCAAATTCGTATATAATCATGTATTTAACTATAAACTAACATAAATTACTTACCTCATGCTTGGTGGTGAAAATGGCACCTCAAAGTTGCTCCAAAATTGCCTCCAATAGAAGAAATGGGGTTGAAATGAACTCAACCCCCGATTTAAAAGAACCTCACTGCATCCAGCATTTCCGCACTTGCGGTCCCTTGACCGCTTCTGCGGTTCCGCATGTGCGGCCTTTCTACCGCTCTTGCGGTTTCTCACCAGGTCCCCTTTTCCACTTCTGCGCCTCAACCACCATAGGTGCAGTCCAGCTTCTGCATCTATATGACCGCATCTGCGGTCTCTTCACTTCTGGTGAAAACCCCATCTGCGGCCCAATTCCTGCAGGACACCAGAAGGCAGCAACTTAAGCTCTTCCTCCAAATTCTAATTCAGTCCGTTAACCATCCGGAATCTACCCGAGGCCCCCGGGACCCCGTCTAATCACACAAACCAATCCCATAACTTAACACGGACCTGCTCGGGGCCTCAAATAACATCAAACAATGTCGAAATCATGAATTGTACTCCAATCCAAACTTTATGAACTTTGAAATTCAAACTTCTACATTTGATGCCGAATCCCGTCAAATCACGTCCGATTGACCTCAAATTTTGCACACAAGTCATATTTGACATTACTGACCTACTCCAACTTCCGGAATCGAAATCCGACCCCGATATCAAAAAGGCAACTCTCGGTCAAACTTCCCCAAAACCTTCAAATTTCTATCCTTAGCCAAATGACTCCTAAATGACCTATGGACCTCCGAATTCACTTCCGATTGCGCTCCCAATACCAGAATCACCATACGGAGCTATTCCCAGACTTGAAATCCCAAACAGACATCGATAATACTGAAATGCATTTCAACCCATACTTATGAAATTTCTTCCAAAATGCTAACTTCCACAATAGGCGCCAAAACGCTCCCGGGTCTTCCAAAACCCGTTCCGGACATATACCCAAGTTCGAAATCATCATACGAACCTGCTGGAACCTTCGAACCCCGATTTCGAGGTTGTTTACTCAAAAATCCAATCTTAGCTAATTTTTTCAACTTAAAGCTTCCGAAATGAGAATTCCCTTTCCAAATCAACTCCGAATTCCATGGAATTCAATTCCGGCCATGCATACAAGTCATAATACCTGAAGTGAAGCTGTTCATGGCCTCAAACTGCTAAACCATGCGCTAGAGCTCAAAACGACCGGTTAGGTCGTTACAATGTTGGACCACAATATTGGGTAACAAAAGAATAATGCAAAATGAGCCATCACAAAAGTTGAAGTGTGGCTCAACAAAAACAAGAAATGATCTTTGATTCAATTTGGTCTCATAGTCACAAGCGATACTTGTCTCATAGTAAAATAGTTTGCTTCATACACCCACCTTTAAAAATACTATTTGAACATAGAACACCTACTATGATGAAAATAAACAAAATATTCATACTAAGTATTGCAATTATTTATAATCCTTTAAAATTTAAATTATCTAAAATAAAATAAATAAATAAAGCAAATGTTTGTGAAGATAATTACAACACTTGGATGTCTCTCCTGCAATTGTTGTTCATTGGGTGTGTAGTCGTTACCTATAAATGCAGATATTATTTATGATTAAACTAAAGCATATTTTTTCGTTTATATTAGACAGGCGTAAGCCCAATATATCTTTAAATTGTTTAATTTATAAATGACGGATAATAAACCAAAAAAGTATATTAGAGTTTAAGAAATTAAAAAAAAAATAAACTCATAAAAAATAAATTATCTTGTACGTTTTTACAAGTATAAACAATACAATAGTATTAAAGTTACTATGAGATGCAATAAATAAGTAAACGCTATGTGTATTAAATAAATAATTTAATAACTAGAACTTTGTTACTTTTATCTAATTTAATGGTTTTTGTAAATTATTGTATATTTTAGTTTGTCGTTGTTTTGGATTTTTTGTTTTGTCCTTACTTTCTTATTAATTCTTGTGTAGTAGATAAATGAAGTATTTAAATAAATTTTACCAAACATATTATTTCTATTTTCCAAATGTGCTCTATTTAAATAATTGTATAATAAAAGTAAATAGAAAAAAAGGTAAAGATACCACTTCCCTCGTTTTCCTCTTCAGTTCCCTCGTTTTTTACTCAACTACTTAGATAACTTCTCTTTATTCCCGCCATTGTTTCCCTCCATATTTCCACTTTCCCCTCTTCTCCCATTTTCTTAGTCAGAAACTTCTATTTTTAGAGCTATATATTCACTATATTATTCCTCTTGGAGAGATGAAATCCTGGTGAGCATTAGGTCAATTCTCTTTTTTCTATTTGTATTTTAATTTTTTGAAGTTTGTTCATTTTACTTTCATCAATATGATTGGTGGAAACACATTTGTTCTTTATATTTAGGATGTAGATATGTAGTTTATTTCACTGCCTAGTTTTACCCAACTAGTAACATTGTGCAGTTCTTTGATTCTATGTGGCCCTCTTTGCCAATTACTTGGATTTGACTGCTTGTAGAGTATATTGTGGTTTTTATTTTATTTTATATTGGAGTTAAAAAAAAAGACAGATCTTTTTGGGGCTCTAGATTGGGTTTGCTGGGTAGTTTGTGGAAAACTTTTTATCTCATCATTTGTCCAGTGTTTGGTTTGTATTAATCGATCATTCTTTTTGGGTGCCTTAAAAAGTGTGTTCTGTTTGTTTTGCTTAATCGGGAATTCGAGAAGATGTATCCTTGTTTATAGTCAAGTAAAATCTGTCAATTTATTAAACTGTCTTAGGACAATAATTATTGTTCCCGCAAACAGGACAATATTGTTTAGCTTGGATTTCGATAGCTGAATGCTCAGTTAACTCCTAGATTGTGAGCTTTTACTTTTTGGTTGGTGAGTCGGTGAAAAATATAAATATTAAATTCATCAAATACATGGTTCTGAAATCCATTGATTGTATTAGTTTGCAATACTGCAGCATGAAGTTAACATACTGTTTATTCTAGTTGTCTATGCGTTTCATGTGACATGCCATCATTGACTAAAAGCTTCCTCAATGCTTTGTGTAACCTTTTAAGATTGAATATGTTGAGAATCTTGTTGTGTCCTCCTCGCCCTTGAGAAATAGAAATGATGACTCAGTTGTAGTTGAACATGTGACCATCTCTTAAAGCTTGTATGTGTGCTTTCTTGCTTTTAGTTTAGTTAATCCTCTGTTATTCAAAAGTTGTAGGCAGAATTATTGCTCATGTTTCATAAATTGTGTTGTGTCCTAAAACAAGGGCTAGGGGCTAGGGTAGTGTGGAGCAGAAGAAAAGAGCACAATTGGCCACTCATTTGCAAATTGGATATCCTTTTTGTCTCTTACTATATTAGTTATGCTTTGCTTTCAATTTCCTGTTTCCGTAAGTTTTATGGTGCAATGCCGAAGCTTTCTTAGTGCAAAATGTACTAACTTGTTGTATCTGGCAGCAAACTATATGGTTGTCTGTAGTCTTTCACTGAATACCCTGAACTTTGAAAGATGCTCCATTGTTTTATCACAATTCTTCAAGATGGGCCAAGGTGAGTTGAGCATCTTAATACTTTCAGTCATAGAATGAATAATTGTATCCATATCCTAGAATATCATTAGAGTAGGAATATTTATGACACTGTGTTGCGATGCTAAAATGCCTTAAATTTTCTGTTGCTTTTATCTTTTGCGATTGAACTATTAATTTAGAGTTTTTGTGTGTGCTGAATGTTTCACACGAGTCGTTGACTAGACATGCAGAAAATTATGTAAATCTTGAGCTATATGACGTAAGGTTGCTAATATGGAGGTTTCACGCCTTGGTTCCAGTTCTCTCTCCAAAGCAGGTCTCCTCCATGGAGCATGTTCTACCTTCACAACTGACCTGATGGACCTCCAAAGACAGTGACTCTCTATACAAGCGAGTATATTTAGGTGTCAGAGTTTCTTCATTTGACAGCCTTGCTATGTGAAATTTTCACCTTTGTTATTACTAATTCGCACCCATATCTCTTGCTCGTGATATTAGCAGAGAAGAATATTTGGATAGTTAAGTAACGACTTGTCTTTTGATCGATAGGCTCAAGTTCGTACAAATCTGCTGAATCAACTCACAAAAAAAGTTGATAGACATGTTAAACATTTTTCAAGCTAAGCTATTTGACCTAAGAGTTTCACTTATATATACATTCTCTCTTGTCTTTTCAGCGAAGTATTTACTTCAACAAGAAAGAGATATTATCAACATTGTTACTCAAAAGGATTCAGCTGCAGCTGATATATTGCAATCATTCATCCATGAGCTTGTTACTCAGAAAGAGATAATATTATTTTGGCGGAGTTTGTGGAGACTTAGCTAGAAAAAAAGTACTCCATTATATTCTAAATGATTTATAAAGTTCAATTTTTTAATGAATACATTTTTACTATCCTAGCTGGTTACCATATCATATATCATTCCTCATGATAAAAAATTTATTTAGTTCCATGAGGATTTGAATTTGTAATGTTTGTCACTCTGGTGATTATTTATGAAATTTGTTTTATGTTGTAAGTTATTTGATATAATTATTTCTTTAATCCTATAAATAAAAAATATTCAAATAGAAGGAGTTTTCAACAATAAAAACATTGTGGCAGAAATAAACTGCCACTATTTTTTTTTAAAACACTAATATTATATTGTAGCGGTTATACACCCCACATAACTTTTTAAAAAAAAATATTTAGATTATATTTTGGGGTTTTATAAACCCCCACGTAACCTTTTTTTAAAAAAATATTTTNATTCATTTTGTGGCGTTTGTCATGGAGGTTTTAAAAATTCGCCGCCATAATGCTCGTGGCAAAGGTAACTGTGGCACTTCTATAAACCACCACAATTCTTTTAGTGGGGGTCAAAAACCGTCACAATTTGACCAAAAAACCCCTACAAAGTAGGTGTTTTCATGTAGTGACTCCAAAACTAAGTCCGCACCAGAGATTCGAGTAAGGGGGTTCATTTGACTCGGGGACAAGGTGTTAGGCACTCCCCAAGTCCCGTAACTAGTACGGTTGCGCACATGATCAAGCTGACTTTTAAAATATTCGAATTGAGGTAATAAACACGGAAAAGCAAAATAAACATACACGAGGCTTGAGGTCGTCCCCACCTAATAAAAGAAAAATAAAAATAAAATAAAATACTACAAGCTCTACTTTTAGCCTCCAAATACAAGTACTACGGGGCATTCCCCGGAATAAAATATATACAAGTCCTTCGTGGCATTCCCCGGATAAATTTAACTAAGGAACGACCTCTCTCCTCAAAATCCACCCAAAATCCTAAGGCTTGCTTACGCACCACAAATGATTCCTTAAAGTTGCCTAAATTGTCGGATCTAAAACATGTCACTAACGAGTAACTAAAAGATCAAACTCATATAAAGCCTAAGTCCATTCTCTTTGCTATTCAAATCTGTCAACCCCCGTGGCCCATTGATCATTGTTTTTCCTAATTTTAGTTCACATGTAATAATTCACAAAACAATAGGCAACTCAACCTTCATAGGTATTTATTAATGTAATTTCGAATAAGATGAGCAAATCGAATATAACGGACTAGCAAATAGAGCACCTAAAGCACACCAAACAAACTCAAACGAGAAATCCACTCAAAAATATTCAAATAATTGTGTAAGATAAACAAAATGGACCTCAATATAGCTGAAAATTGATTGTTCAACTGCTTTGAACTAAAAAATGTGATGAACCTTGGACGGGAACTCGAATCGGCAACCAAAATAAGCAAAATGTTAGGAGAATTTTCTTCAGTATAACAATGAAAAGAAACTGCAAAAACACAACCCTTGGTTCCGAAATTCAACGAGAAAGAACAACAAAGTCAACGAGCAGAACTTTCGACTGGATAACCTCTACGAGTAGCAACAAAATCAGCCAGAACCTCAGTTAGAATTGACGGACTCGAATGAAAGATGATGAGCTAATCGGTTTCCGGCGAAGCTCGACTTCGAGCACATTTCAATGCACGATTTCAGAGCTGAACAAATAGTAACCTTTTCGTGTGAGTTTCAGCTGGTACGAAGGAGAAAAAATCGAGTTGTCGATGGCTGTTGTTCGACTGATTTTCAGTTTCGTTTTGAGATGAGAAAAGGATAGTTTTCGAACTGGTTTTTAGGGGATTTTCAGGTTAGTTTCTGCCGGTTCCCGGTGAAGCTCGCCGGCAATGGAAGTCGGATGTTTGAGATCTGGAAAAGGTTGGGATTGGAGTGCTCTTGTGTGATGGAAAACGGCGTTGCAGCTGGTTTTGTTGCAGGAGATTTGAGAGGAGTTGGGGTGGTGCGGTCACTGGGAGATGGAGAGGAGGTCCGACGGTGTTCATGGTGGTCGTTTGGCGACTGTGTGTGGCTGGTCGGAGTGGGCTGGCGGCGGTGTAGGGTGCTGTGGAGAGGAGGGGTCTTGGGCGGCTGGTGTAACTTTTGTAGGGTTAGGGTTTTTTGGCTTGTCTTGGTTGAAGAAGAAGGGCAGCTATGGATAATGTTGTCTTCTAGGGTTTTTCTTGTTGAGTCCTCCTTGAAGAAGAAGGTCTGATGTTGTTTTAAGAAGAAGGGTTTTTTTGGGTATGGAAGAAGTGGGCTCCGAATTTGGGCCTAAGATTTGGCCCGATTAGGCTCAAAATGTTGGTCTTGTGACATGAAAATAAGAACTAATCCAAAAATTGATTCTTTTCTTTTTACAAAAATAATATTGATAACAAAATATACTACGAAAATACTAATTAATCTTAATTAAGGAGTACAAACTATTAAAATTAAATTAAATATGAAACTATTAAGTAGAGAAATATGGAACTATTTTTATAATTTTCAATTTTTGTTCTTAAAATAATGTAAAAGAGTCAAAATTAGTTGAAATAACTATATTAGATCTAAACTGAGTATTTAAATGTTAAAATATGTAAAATCTTGGGGAGAGTCAAAAATCACATATCTACACCTGCCCCTCTTTGAATAGAAATACGAAGTATTTTTAGACAAAGAACGACGAGACAAGTTTTTTGACTCAACCCTTATTTAGAGAGACCAAAAACTAAAAGATAAGAGAAAAATGTGATCGAGCCCTGGTATATGAGCTGCCTACATATCCTTGGCAATAAAGGAATCAGGCCACGTGTAGTTTAGAAGTAGGAATAATGATAGAGTATACCGAGGTGGAGGGCTGATTGAGGTGCCGTTCCATCGAGGTTCCGGTCTGCGGTCCTGTTATTACATCAAAATAAAAAAATAAAAAAGACTAACTAAGTCTGTCAGCTATGAGTTACAAAATTCCTATCTATAAGTCTTCTAAAGCTTGATCTTGAGTCTTGAATGGTTCTTCATGCAGACTTTAGATTTGAAACTTGATGCTCGCTAGCTGCAGGTGCTAGTTCATTCTTCTTAAGCTTTTCAGATCAAAACCGGACACACCATGCTTGTGACTTCAGTCATGTCTTGAGCAATCTACCTCTTGTCTCGACTTCTGCATTTTGGATTCGCTTCCCTTTCCTTTTCATTTTTTTTTGTTTTTCTTTTCTTTTCTGGATTGAAATTACTTATGTTGATCGTCTCGGACTGTTGACTCGCATTCTTTCCACGAGCTTCTGCTACTTCTAACTTGAATTAAATTCTGAAATGACTTCCCTCATTCTTCAGGTGGGCGCCTGCTACTGACTTGAAATTTGAAGTGACTCTAAAAAGAACTTGAAATGGATTTCCTCATTCTCCAGGTGGGTGCCTGCAATCAAAACAACAAAACAAACAAAATTTTCTGCCCCAGTTTGCATTATGAAGTTTGTGAGTTATTAGCAAAACTGTAAATCACATGTGCTATTGATGCAATGATGATAGTAAACTAAAGACTCGACTAGGATGTACGTCTCCTGTGAGTAAAACCAATAAACTTTGACTAGCAAATGCGTCTGCTAATAATAAAACCTGAATGACCAAAACTAGGACGTGCGTCTCCTGGGGATGAAACTTGAATGAACCAAAACTAAGAAGTGTGTTTCCTATGGGTAAATTTTGAATAACTCAAACTAGGAAGTGTGTCTCCTAGGGGTAACACTTGAATGAACCAGAACTAGGAAGTGCGTCTCCTTGGGGTAGAACTTGAATAACCAAAAACTAGGAAGTGCGTCTCCTAGGGGTGAAACTCAATTTAAGAAGTGCGTCTCCTAAAACAAAAATATAACCTGAAAGACCCAGATTAGGAAGTGTGTCTCCTAGGGGTGAAACTTGAATAAACTAAACTAGGAAGTGTGTCTCCTAGGGATGAGACTTGAATGAACCAGAACTAGGAAGTGCATCTCATTGGGGTAAAATCTGAATAACCAAAAACTAGGAAGTGCGTCTCCTAGGAATGAACTTAAATGACCAAAGCTAGGAAGTGTGTCTACTAGGGATAAAATTTCAATTTAGGAAGTGCGTCTCCTAAAATGAAAATATAACCTGAACGACCCAGACTAGGAAGTGCGTCTCCTAAGGGTGAAACTTGGATGATTCAAAACTAGGAAGTGCGTCTCCTAGAAATGAATTTAAATGACAAAAGCTAGGAAGTGCGTCTCCTAGGGATAAACTTTTAATTTAGGAAGTGCGTCTCCTAAAATGAAAATATAACCTGAACGATCCAAACTAGGAAGTGCGTCTCCTAGTGGTGAAATTTCAATGACTCAAGCTAGGAAGTGTGTCTCCTAGGAATAAACTTAAATGACCAAAAACTAGGAAGTGTGTCTCCTAGGGGTGAAACTCAATTTAGGAAATGCGTCTGCTAAAACAAAAATATAACCCGAAAGACCCAGACTAGGAAGTGTGTCTCCTAGGGGTGAAACTTCAATGACTAAAACTAGGAAGTGCGTCTCCTAGGAATTAATTTAAATGACCAAAGCTAGGAAGTGCGTCTCCTAACAAGTATAATCTGAAAGACCCCTACTAGGAAGTGTGTCTCCTAATGGGTAAAACTTCAATGACCCCAACTAGGACGTGCATTTCCTATGGATGAATTTAAATGATCAATATTATGAAGTGCGTCTCCTAAAAATAAAAATATAACTTGAAATACCCAGACTAGGAAGTGCGTCTCCTAGGGGTGAAACTTGAATAAACTAAACTAGGAAGTGTGTCTCCTAGGGATGAGACTTGAATGAACCAGAACTAGGAAGTGCATCTCATTGGGGTAAAATCTGAATAACCAAAAACTAGGAAGTGCGTCTCCTAGGAATGAACTTAAATGACCAAAGCTAGGAAGTGTGTCTACTAGGGATAAAATTTCAATTTAGGAAGTGCGTCTCCTAAAATGAAAATATAACCTGAACGACCCAGACTAGGAAGTGCGTCTCCTAGGGGTGAAACTTGGATGATTCAAAACTAGGAAGTGCGTCTCCTAGAAATGAATTTAAATGACAAAAGCTAGGAAGTGCGTCTCCTAGGGATAAAATTTTAATTTTGGAAGTGCGTCTCCTAAAATGAAA